TATCAATGACAAAAAAAATAAACAAAATTTTTACAGAAAAAATTAATATGAAAAACATAAACGAAATTTGAAAGTCGTCGGTCTGTCTGCTCTCATGGATGTCCTCCTCAATGGGCAAAGCAGCATATGCTTTAAACTATAATAAAAACAAATTCATTGTACATTTCATATTTGACTTTCTTATCAATTTTGTTTGTATTTTTCCGGATTTCATTAGCATCTCTTAATGGCAACCCTGCTGTATACACGAATAAGTACAATGTATATAATATATCCCATTGAAAAAAAATATGAAAAATAACTGCAAATACAATTCACACAAAAATGATTGAAAATCTACTTTATTATAGTTTACACGCTGATTATAGATACATTTTTGATTATTTACAGCACGTTTTTACTTAAATTGTTGTTGCAAGAACTCTTGTATTCTATGGTTTTTAAAGTTACTTGTAACGTGAGTCAATATAATTCAGAGCACAGCTGAATTTCAATAGCAAAGAGTAGAGGATGATTTTGTTTACTTCCAGATAAATGCAAAATTAGTAAAAAATAATTTCACTTTACAACAAAAGAACATTTTTATAAAGATAGAATAACGCCTTAGTTTTTCAAATTTTATTCATTTTGTAAGTAATCCTTTTGCAGGTACATTTAAAAATAGTCTTCATAGGTTTAAACAATTGACAAAGAAATATTTTTGACGTCATATGAAAAATGAACACACTTCATAGCTACCTGATCCTGGCAAGTATAACCAGGCACGCAATATATACAATGAATTCATAAATGCAAAGACTCTAAAAATAAGGTCATAAGGTCAAAAATATTGCATGCAAATTGGTTTGAGTGGTTGTATTATATCAAAGAACAAAAGTAATTATATCAGCATTTGTCATTGAATTGATTATCAGAATTTCACAAACAATAACAAAATAGGTGCAGAATAACAGACTGGACTCAAGCAAAAATACAGTATAAAAGCACGCTCACTATTGAAATAAAGCATCAGTAGACGAAGCAATCTGCACGAAGGCACATATAGCAAATAACAAAATTTGTAAATTACATATATAAAAATATATATAAAATTATATATATAAATATATAATCGTGTGGAGTCGACAGTGGCTGTGTGCAAATTGGAGCTTTGAGGCAGAAAATATTTGCTATTTGATATTTTGAATTGTTTTTTTTTTTTGTATTTTTATTAATTAATTAAAAAGGAGAAGAAGATGAATTGCTTAAAAAAACTGCCCATGCGTTTGATCGCCAACGCCGTACAACGTCAGCAACAATGTATGTCCACTGGCGCTGGTTCCATGCCTCCACTAACCTTCTTGACTGACGATGAGAAGATGATGAAGGAAACCGTTGCTAAATTGGCTCAGGAACAAATTGCTCCATTGGTTAAGAAAATGGATGAAGAACACAAATTTGATCCATCCGTTGTAAAAGCAGTGTTTGAAAACGGTTTGATGGGTATTGAAATCGATTCCGAATTGGGTGGAAGTGGATGCAATTTCCTGACAACAATTTTGACTGTTGAAGAATTATCTAAAGTTGATCCTGCCGTTGCTGCTTTCGTAGATATTCACAATACATTGGTCAACTCTTTAATGATCAAAGTTGCCAGTAAAGCACAAAAGGAGAAATATTTACCAAAATTAGCTCAAGAATATGCTGGAAGTTTTGCTTTAACTGAACCTGGTGCAGGTTCTGATGCTTTTTCATTGAAGACTGTTGCCAAAAAAGATGGTGATCACTATGTGATAAATGGTACCAAAATGTGGATCTCCAATTCAGATATAGCTGGAGTATTCTTAGTATTTGCCAATGCCAAACCTGAAGCTGGCTATCGCGGTATTACAACATTCATTGTTGATCGTGACACACCCGGTTTGGTAGTCAATAAACCAGAAGACAAATTGGGCATTCGTGCCTCTGGCACTTGTATGATCAATTTCGATAATGTGCGTATACCTGCAGAAAATCTTTTGGGAGAATTCGGTTATGGCTACAAATACGCAGCGGGTTTCCTTAATGAAGGCCGCATTGGTATTAGCGCTCAGATGCTTGGATTGGCACAAGGTTGTTTCGATGCCACGATACCATATCTGTTGGAACGTAAACAATTTGGTTCAGAAATCTTTAATTTCCAATCAATGCAACATCAAATCGCCACTGTTGCCACTGAAATTGAAGCTGCTCGCTTATTAACATATAATGCAGCTCGTTTAGTTGAAGCAGGTGCACCTTTCCATAAAGAAGCAGCCATGGCTAAATATTATGCTTCAGAAGTAGCACAACGTGCTACAATCAAGTGTATTGACTGGATGGGAGGTGTTGGTTTCACACGCGATTTCCCACAAGAGAAATTCTACCGTGATGTTAAGATTGGCGCCATCTATGAAGGTACCACCAACATGCAATTGAGCACAATCGCTAAGCAAATCAAGAAAGATTATTCATCATAAGTGCTGGAAAATATCTGACAACTGAGCGAGTATTGTCGGTTTTGTATATAAAAAGCAAAATAATTTTAAAAGTTCTTCATAGTTTTGTATATCGTAACAGATACCAACAGTGCATTTATTAGATTGTCTATACGCCAATGTTTTTGAAATTATAGCCGCATTAGAGTTTAATTTTATTAAATATATATATAAATATACTAGATAACCCGACAAACGTTGTTTTGCCTTATAAATTATTTCTAGTTTCTAGATAAATTCTAGTGTAGACAAAAAGTAACTTACTTATTATAAGTGTGTAAGTATGTGGTATATGAGTGAAATAGGCATGGAGCGCTATGAACGAAAAGGAAAATAAAAATAACAAACGCCAAACAATATTATTTTTAAGTTATTATAGTTTATTTATTAAATTATTAATTTAAAATCAATAGATTTGTAAGATACCAAGTTCCCTGGCAACAACTGTTGTATCTTCAAATTTAAATTGTCTTGGATTGACTGTAAATAATAATAATGATAATGGGCCAGTAACATTAACCAACAACAGTCGAAGATTAAAGCACTCAGTGTGTCTTGGATTAACTGTAAATAAGCGTTCGATTTAAATAAATTGAGACATGCATCAACTGGTGAAACTTGCTTGCGGGGCATCCATTTTTTTGTTTGAGCCCATGTGAAATAGCGTGGTACTTGTGAATAGAGTAATGTTCTTGCAAAGGCACCAAAATCACCCGTACTATTACACAATTCAAAAAATGCAGTGAGTGTAGATTTAGGTGGATTTGTACCACGATCAATCACTGTCTCGTTCGTGAAAAATACAAGCTGACCGTTTTCATGATGGACGGCTACCTGAACAGCTGCTGGATCCCGTTCATGAATTAGAAAACCGAAGATACGCCAAGCAGCTTCATCGGAGCTGATGTACCGACCAATTTGGTAGAGCGTAATTTCACCGTTTTTGTTCATTGGAGGAGCATTTACATTAGT